AGAGTCTCCCCTAGAAGCCTCCAGAAGAACAGCTTGCCAGCCCCTTCCTTTCAGCCCAGGAGGACTGATTTTGAACTTGCTGCTTCTGAAAAATGTTACTCTAAATGTCCAGGTTTGTGACAGCTTATTATTACAGCTGTAGAAAACTGACCCACCGTAATGGAAGCCAGGAGACAGCGTCCAGTTCCTCTGCACAGGCTAAGAGAAAAGAGAAGGCAACTTAGAATATTTTCCATGACAAGGTCAAAATCCATTTTCTAGCAAGAGAACCAAACAAGTGCAAGCTGGATCTATCACCAAAAAACCCACGTTAAAGGATGTGTTTGTTCAGTGGTATGCTTGAGGAGAATGCTCTCTGAGGTAAGCCTTGAGGTTCAGAAAAGATATCTGACAAAAATATTAATCAGGGCAGTCGTGGCTGGGAGGAGCCACCCCCCTCCTGTGAGCCAGCTGGCGCTCGGGCTAGGAGAGGTGAAGAGCTGTCCCCCACCCCTGTAAGTAATCAGCTGATTTGGAGGAACACAGGCTGAGATCATCGCTACTGAAGTCAAACACAACTTAATGCCTGTATTGTTTGATTGACTTTGCTGGCTGAAAATCCAGCAGTCTGAGCATCTACTTGGAGGATAACGATATGCTATATAGCAGCTATGGGGGGCTCTCTTCTCTCTGATTTTTGAAATCCAGTATTGTTCTTACTGCTTTGCTTGGTTCTGTTTTATTGTGTTGTTTTATTCCCTTTTAAATTAAAAAATTAATCAACATTGGTTACATAGACAAGCACTGACTTTCTAAAGTAATCAAAATAAGGTGGAATAGAAAGGCATAAAGACATAAGTCAGCATTTAAGTACAGAATGATATTTACACATTAGCTAGGCTGCTCTTCACTGGAGGTTGACGTTGACAAAGAGCACGAAAATGCTGGTTAATTTCACATTTTCAAGTATACATAATAAGATACATAGGATAACCAGTAAAAGACTAATACAGAAAACATAACACCAAAAAGAGGGTAAACAAATAAAAACAGGAAAAATACTATTCTGGTGTGAAAATATAAAACAAGGTTTAAAAAGAAACAGCAAAGTATATAAATAATACTGTAAAATAAATTCAAGTATGTAAATAATCTTAATTAACATAAATGGGTTCACATTTTTCACTAAGAACTTAAATGTGGATATAAAAACTTCCGCTATAGTTTGTTTTTAGAAATCCCAACTAAAATATAAGAGAAAGACTGACAGCAAAGAGGTAGAAAAAGAGCAGACAGATAACTAACCAAAATAAAACTGGTATAGTTATGTAAATATCAGATGCAATGGACTGTAAGTCATAAAAATTATTAGAATAAAGCAGCTGTAAAGGGATGTATATGAAAGACACTTGACTTAGCCCTGATGACCCGCCTTGTCCAACCAGTCCTTAACTCCTAACTGCACACCAGCTAGACACCTATCAGCTGACCAGTCCCTCAGTCTGACAGTCATCCAATCACCATCAGACACGTGAGACTTTGGAGAGACATTTCAGGTGCAACCCATAAAACACTCTCGAGAAATTATACAAGGGTATCAAGGCTGCACACAGGAAAAAATGTACCCAGCGACTTTGTTGGTGAGAGTAAAGAAACCAGACATCCCAATGGTGACCAGCAGTCAGGTCGACAGAGCCACACTGTCCAGCCTGAAAGTGATTTCCCTGGAGCTGCTCCCATCACCTCGTCAAGTTTTACACTCTACCCATCATTTGCAAACATGAGTGAATATTGGGGTTATGAAAGGAGTCTGGGGAGAGCGCGCAGATTTTGCTTGTTGGTGTGGGGCAGGGCTAATTCTCTGTAATTTTATCAAATTGTGATTCTGTGCATGATCAAACTTGAGAGCCACTGTGTTAACACTCAGTTGCAGGAGGCCTGCCTGCTCTTCAGCTTACACAAAACAGAGCAGAACACGCAGAACAGGCTGCATGTCCTGTGTGGATTGCCCCCAGGTGTCCTGACAGAATCTGCTCTGAGGGGGGCATTTGGGAGTGGGCATCCAACCAACTGATGGGAACGGGCATTTGTTCATTCCTGAGCTTGGAGATCATTCGTACTTAGTATGTGTATTATATACAAGCATAAAACATGTTTCACCATACAAGTTTGAGTTAATAAAGTAAGAAATCTTTACATTGAGGCTGTGTCCTCCAGTGAGCATCTGCAAGCCTGTGGTCTGGGGTTTTCCCTGCCGACTTACTGATTTCCAGTAGTGGTGTTTACACTGTCTTGCTTCTTCTGCTCATTAGTAGCCCTACCTGGAAGTGTTCATTCAGCTGGGACAAAGGGAGACTTTGCCCCTTTTTATCACCTCTGAGGAATTAGGGAAGTTGCTTTTGTGGATTGCAGGTTTCCTGGACCAGATAGGGACAGTTGTGGAGAGCAGGGAGCAGGGTGGGGGTCATCGGCTTGCAGGGACTATGCTGTGACCCAGAGCCAGTGGAGGTGAGCTGGTGTAGGGCACAGAGGGAGGTCTGCAAGGCCCTGGCAGAGCCTCACCACGAGGAAGGCAATTGGCAGCTAATGGGCTGGCGGAGAGCTGTGCCAGGTCCTCCAGGAGTGCTGGGCAGGCAGAGCACTAGAGGTACGGGCTGCAGATGAGGGTGGCCAGGGGCGGGGCTGCCCACTCACACCAGTTACAGCACAGCTGCACCTGAGTTCCTTAGCCACTCCTGCCAGGTGCACTTGCAGAAAGGTCCCCTGCCACCTGCTAAGTCAGCTCCCTAACAGGTTTGCAGGCTCTGCTCCAGGTGTGCTGGGGAGAGCTCAGTGCTCTCCAAGAAGGTGAGGAAACAGAGTGTTGGGGAGATTGCTGCTGCCTCTACAGTGGCCTCTGCCCTCCAGAGATTGTGGGAAGTCAAAAGCAGTGAGACCGCTTTTCCTCTCAGAGGGGTGCAGGTCCCGAGTCACCCCACTACCATCATTCAGATCACATGCCTCACTGTCTCATGCGTCTTTGAGATAAAGAATTGCCTCCTCTGTCCTCTGCAGTCCTTCTCCAGGGAGAGTCACCTGGTCTGCTTGTTGCTCCATCTAAGATTCCTCCTTCCCCTGAGATGGGATCTGATGCTCAGGCCAGGCCTCGTCCCCACGGCAGAGAGCGCTAAGCTGGGCGTGTGTACACTGGTGCCCCGGAACCCGCTGTGTGCCCGACCTGTTCCTGCAGAGCAGTTTCCTTACTTTTGATGATCTCTTGGTCCCAATCTGGCAAAACCATCTTCTCCCAAAGACTCTTTTGTTTGAATACAATCTGTAGTGTGTTAAGCCCAGTCCACTGTAAAATGGCGTGTTCATTTCCCCAAGATCCTTGCAGCTTACTGTACTTAGGAGCTATTGACCATCCTGAAAGGACACAACTCTTGCTGTTTTATTCTCTCTCGGCTCGGCATGTGGTTTCAACTGCCCAGGCTTCACCCCCACAGCAGCTTCCAGCCAGACCCTAAATGCTTGGTTCACCAGTTTACCTTGATCCTGTGGTGCTGCTGTAAATGATTTTGCAGCCCTGATTGCTGCTATCTAACCCCATGAGTTCTGCTCTCACCATCTCCGCGCCTCAAGTGGGTCATCGGCAAGGAGGAGGCCTTCGAGCCAATTTTTTGTTTTTTATTTTTTTGGTATCGGGAATCAAACTCATGACCGTGTACTTGCAAGGCACGTTAGAGCTGATTTTGAAACGCATTCACAGTTATAGTCAACTTGCAAACACCCAAGGTTTTGGTGTCATGTTGGAAACAATGAACTGGAGCTTTTCGCAGCCTGACCATCCTGTTTCCCACTGCTGGGCTGCTGGGCTGCTTGACGCACATCTGGCTTAGGCCTCCGCAGCCCTGTGCAGTCCAGCTGTGCCACCTGGAGCCCCTTCCTGCCCTCTCCTGCTCCCACTTGCTCCTCTTTAATCCTCTCCACACAGCCCTCAGAGGTCTTCAGAAACGTCAGTCTGATTGTAGCTCATTGATGCCTGGTCTCCTTCCGGGGCTCGTCAGCCTTCTTAGTGAGGGTGCTTTATAGGGTGCGCTGACCGAGGGCCCCGTCTGACCCTGAGCACCGGTGCTCTCTTGCTCTTGCTGTCCACCTTCTGGGCCCTCTCAGGCTCCCCTGCAGAGCGCTCCCCAGCCCCGATGACCTCCCCAGCTCGGTGAAGATCATGGCCTTCCACCCACCCCAGTGCTGCTGCAAAGAACAGTCAGTCTGCTCACCCATGCTCAGCTGCACCCCAGCTTCTCAGAGGCATGGACCCCCCTCCTTGCCCCAAGTGTCACACATTCAGTTCAGGCTTCCTCCTGGACAGAACTCCCTGTCTGCTGCCCCTTTTCAATTCCCGTGCTCCAGGGTAAAGTGGGAAAATGACTGGATCTGTCTCACACAACTCCGAAGGCTCTCGCAATGGTGATGGTTGGTGATTCCTTCCTACTTTGATAAGGAAGAGGGTCACGGGATGGGGTTAAGTCTGACTCTGCACGGCCGTGTCCTGGTGCCTGGTATGGAGCACAGTGCAGAGCAGATGTTGGGTGGATTTTTGTGGAATGAATGAATGAATGAATGAATGAATGAATGGTGTTGCAAAGTTTGCATGCAGATATTGTCATACAAGCAGTCTCAGTGTTGCAGGAAGCCCAGGGTTCGATGCCTGCATCAGGAAGATGACTGCCAAGTGGAGGCTCAGCCTTTGCACGGGGCTGATGCCGCCCCTGATTCCTGACAGTGTTGGGTCCTTGGGGAGTGGCCATGTGGAGACCTAGGTGAGGTGATTTAGCCTCTGACACGCTTTTCTGGCCTTCATGGAGAAGGGTGAAGAATCCCGTGTGGGGTGTAAGTGGTGTCGGTGACATGATGGGGACCCCATTCTTGGACGTCTTGGGCACTGGCTCTTGGGGCTGTCGTCATAGATGCTCTGGGTGGGCTTTTCGCAAGGACAGGTCCTGAGCTGATGGTAAGCATGGGTCTGGTTATTTCTCCAGGAGATCAGTGACCCTGAGATCCTGGATCTGGTCCACAGTGCCCTGGGCAGGATGACCGTGGTCCGGCAGATATTCCCTTCCGCGAAGGACAATCAGAAGTGCATGAGGAACAATCACCGCATCTCCTCCCTGCTCTGCGACCCCCAGGAAGGCTACCTTCAGATGCTGCAGGTCAGTACGCTCTCCCCACCTCCGGGGACCCGGGATTACACCCTTGACCTGTGCAGGAGACTGGCCCGGCTTTCTGGGTGCCAGCTGAGTGCTGTCGTCCTCAGACTTTAATTACTCAGACTGCCGTGTGCTGCAATTGAAGCTTGTTGACTGACTGGACCGTGTTCCTGTGTAGCTTTAGCAGGCGATTACGCCTGTTGTCAGTACACAGGGTCTGTTGGCTCTCCAGGTGCCCCTGTGATTTACCGGTTACACGCTAGGTGGAAAGGAGACTGGGGGCCTCTTAGGCCTTGAAAACTGCTTCCTGAGTGTCTGGCAGGGGGCTCTTCCATGTTAGAAGTCACCAGTGGAAACAGGGCATCTACAGACTGGGAGTTGGCCTGGCCCACCTGCTGAGAGCTGAGGTCAGAGTCAGCCAGGACTCTGCTGGGTTCCCAGGTGAGCAGAGAGAGGCCAGAGAGCAGGCCTAGGACACGACCCCCAGCTCCTTCCAAAGCAAGCAGTATCAAGGGGCTGCAGTCGGTCGGTCCTTTGCTGCCCAGCACGTGAGCACAGGCACTGGCTTGTCCTGTGGCCGTGGGATGGGATGGGGAGACTCAGGCTGGCTGCATCGAGTGGATTTCTGCCTGGAGATTGAGGAACAACAGGAAGAAGAGTGGAGACTGCCCGCTGGTCATCCCGAATCTGCTTTCCCATTAGGCATGTCATGCCCAGAGAACTGTTACTGCTGTTTTCTGGAGGCCACGTGACAGAGGGGCATTTCCAGTTGGGTTTATGAAAGCTGGCCTAGAAGTTTGCATGCCTGACACCCTCACCACTTAGTGTTTGGAAGCCTTAGTATCTTCATGCAGACAGGGTGAGGCATGGACACCAGGGCTTCTGGCCAGAGGGGGCTGTAGCTGCCCCACCCCAGGACCTTTGCAATCGTCATAACAGGGGCCCCACATCTTGGGCCGGGGGGGGGGGGCGGTTGCTGGAATCTTGAGTGGGCTGTAGACATCATAATTTGCCAAAGCATTGAATTTACTCTATAATCTTATATTTGGGGAGGAAAAAGAAAACATGTCTCAATAGATGACAAACAGGAGAAATACAATCATTCTTTGGTTCACATTTTTGTTCGAGAACAACTTGGTTTGCAGACAGAAGCATTTTGCAGAAGTTCACGTCTGTTTTCGAACTCAACATCATGCACTGTGGAAGAATTTAGGTTCACGAACCCAGAGACCAGTGTACATTCTCAGTGGCTGGGAACCTGCGGACACTGGTGCCCACTGCACAGGGAATCCATCAATCAGCTGGCTGGACGCACAGGGACCCCGCCAGCTGGCTGGACTGGATGGGGTGTGTGGGGACTTTCCGAGGTGGAAAGGGGTTGCTCAAGAGGACCAATGGCCCCTGCACGGCATGGAGACTAGACAGGGTTGGGTTCATGGCTCAGCAAGGTCCGTGGTGCAGTTGTACCTTTTTGGAGGCTGCTGTGTGTGTTTCCTTCCTTCTTCTGGAGCCTGGAAGACGATAACCCTGAAAGTGCTTCTCATGGGGCCTGTGTGGGTCAGTCCATGTGCACAGAGATGAGGTGGACAGGGGACAGGCAGTGTCTGTGCCCCCAGCCCCATGCAGGAGGAGCAGTAGCTATGCCCTCTGCCGTGTGTGGGGCCTGAGCCCCGAGGGCCTCCCTCATCTCCCCACGTGTTTCCCCCTCTCCAGACGCATGCTGCAGCCCTGCCTCACGTCCCTCTGTTCCACTCTATTTCCTGCTAACTCAAACTCAGCCCGCCAACAGGCACGCAGAGGCCATTCTTCATCTCCTGAGCATGGGCTGCTCTCGCAGGGGTGAGGGAGAGAGGACAGTACTTCTCTCAGTCTGTGCTGTGGCCCAGAGTGTGCAAAGAGGAGGGGACTCAGTCTGCTTTAACAGACACATGAGGTGCAGAGGACCTGTCCCCTGGACAGTGATGAGCAAGCAGGGACACCAAGGGACAGGAGCCCAGCTGCGGCCATCCGAGTACTACCAGTAAGATGGCAGGCGGAGGTGCAGCACCGAGACGTGCAGCTGACCATTGCTGGACAGAGCACATGAGTTGTGGGACCAAGGGAGCCTCAGACACCCTCCTCCCTCTGCTCCTGCTGAGACCTGGCCTCCTAGGAGGAGGTGAACCCACGGGCTCCCCCGCAGCACCTCACAGCAGCAGGACAGGAGCCAGACTGCCTGCGTACAAATCCCACTGACTCTGCTTCCTGGTTAGTTAATTATTTCACTCGCTTGTCATTCTGTGTCTCGGCTTCCTGATCTGTCATCTGGAAACTAGACTATTACTTGCGCCCTAAAGTCAACGGAAGGCTCAGTGGGAGCAGAGCTGAGCTGTTAACAGTGTCCTTATTACTGAGGAGGTGGCCAGGTGTGTGTGCGCACACACACACACACACACACACACACACACACACACACGCACGCACACACTAGTGTCCACCTGCCTTTCTGAACCTGCTTTTTGTTTTATTTTGAAGCGGCACCCCGGGTAGACGTGTCCCCCCACTCTCTATCCTCTTCCTGCCCGTTTTCTTGTCTGTGCCACTGGGGCAGGTGCTCAGTCGCAGATGCCTGGGTGGGAGGGGACCGGCTGTGTCTTTCACACCCATTTGGCTCTTCCTACAAGACCCAACCTGGTGAGGACTCGCAGGGTGAATCTGTTGGAAACGCAGGTCTCAACACAACTTAAGTCTCCTCTAGGAACCTCTTTGTCTATATAAAGCAAAGCACTTCATTAGAGAAATTTCCGTCTCCATTTTTACGCCTCCGCTTCCTTGTGCGGGGCTGTGATGGGGAGGAAATGTGGATTTATTTACTCCTGCCCAGCAGCCACTTGGGCAGCCTGTAGATTCATCTCATTCGCAAGCGTTCCCTTCCAGATTCTTAGAAACCATTACCACTTCTCTCTCGCCTAATGATGGCGTGGAAGGCAAACTAATTTCTCCTAGCCTCTAGCTGTGAGATTTATGGAGAAGACACAAACATGCTTCCAACAACCAACTCAAGGAAAAGAAAAACATTGATGTCATGGGTTATTAACTTTGTCTTGATGAAATTAATGAAAATCCTCTTGGAAATGGAGCTGTCTAGTCTGTCTCCATTGCGTCCCCAGACAGCTGCAGTTGGGCTGATAATTCTGGCGTAGGGATCCCCGTGAGGACCATCAGGAAAGGGGCATTTCTGCAGCAGGTCCTCTTCCGGCTTCTCTGTCCAGCTGGCCTCAGAGCTCCGTCTTCCTCTATTAGGCCTGTGGCCCGAGCTTCCTGTGTTCCAAAGCCAGCCAGGCACTCTTAGAGCAAATCAATTGGGTTGCTGTTTGGTCAAAAGTCCCTGGAAGAAAAATCCCTAAATGAGTGAGTCCTAGTTGTCCGAAAGCATTGTACCTGCCAGCGTGCAGCGGCCCCCTTTATCTTTCCTTACAAAGTGCGGTCTGATTTGGGTGTTGCTCAGTCTTGTTTTCTTGACAGTTTAGTTTAGGGCTTGCCTGGCTCAGCTAGTAAAAAAGTGATCACTGACCCTCGGTCCCCGAGGCTTTGCTAAGCTTTCACGGCAGCCTAGCTCTGAGGAGACTCTGCCTGCTGCATGACCTGGTGACTTCAGGCCTGTAACTGAAATAAGGGGTGAATTATCACCTTGCCACCTGATTTACAGTCACACGTATTTGTAAAGGGGGCAGACAATGATGTAAACTGTGTTGTCTGGTCCCCGAGGAGCCTGCTCCAGGGATGAGGCTGGGAGGCGCCCGTGGAATTGTCCTTGAGTGCCCCCTTAGCTGGGAATCCCCCTTCTTGGTGCATCTGAAGATTGCTAGGAGGCTGACTGAGCTCGCTCCTCCTCCTGGGCTCAGCCTAGTAAAGCATCTCGCCCTGGCACACCTGTTTCTTTGGAGCTGCCTGGCCTCTTCCCTGGTGGCAAGGTCATCAACCTCTTAGGACAAGCCTTTGCTCCGGAGACTTTCCCAAGCTCCTGACATCCCGAAGGCCCAGACACAGAAGCCTGATGGGGAGAGCAGAGTCCTGTGCTGCAAACCAGTACCTGGAGGTCTCTGGAGGCTGTGCAGGGGTTTGGAGGCCATCAAGCCTCAGGGATGGACAGACGTCCTCTCCTCTGTCCCACCTGCCCTCGGTTCAGCAGAGCCCCCTGCATCCTCTTCACCCTCTGCCGCCATCTGCTGCATCCTCTGGCCTGGCCGCAGTGCCCTCTCTCAGGACGCGTGAACTGGCAGCAGTTGGCACCGTGACATTTCGCAGCACAAATTCCTCCATTTGTGGCATCTGGACGTCAGCCTGTCCTCCTGGCTGGACCTTCTGTCCGCTGTTTCTCTGACATTGCTGTTCTAACAATGTTGCCAGTGCCTGTTGTCTGCCTCTGTAATATCTCCAGGACGGTCTGCTTTACTCGACTAACGAGGCAGGGGAGGGCGTCTGGGCTCTTCAGGAGCCCCCAGGAAATAAGCCTTTCTCATGAAAATGTCCCCGCATTTCTGGCTTTGGTATTGCGAGGCTAGTGACCAAGCCTGAGATACAGCTGGCCTATGTGCCCTGTCCCTGGCCCTCCCTGCACCTGCCTGTGTCTTCGGGGATGGTCCTGACTGACATGGTGCACGAGGCCCCCCGGGTGCCCTGAGCATGGCAGCAGCAAGGTCAGAGCGCCCCAGGGAGGAGTGCCAGGGAGACAGGCAGACTGTGGGGCATGCAGCAGGGGCATCCTCTGACCTGCTGTGTCCTGGCCCTTCCAGGCTGATGGGCATGGGCAGAGGCCTCGGCCTCCATCTCCAACAGGCCTGGCAGCCTCCAGCTATCCGGAGGGGCTCAGCGCATTGGGGGCCCTCATCAGTCCTTCGGTAGGGGAGCAGGGCCTGGGGATGGAGCTCTAACAGGGCTGCTTCCACCCGACCTGGTCTCATCCTGGAGCTAAGGCAGCGCCTCCCATCGGTTCTTCCCGTTATTTCCTGTTCTGTTGGCGT